TTCGGGTTTAGTAAATTTTCGCGAGTCAGCCATAACAGCGAGCCGAAGTAATCTCGGTTAACGATAATTCAGCGGTGGCTGACTTTAATCGCGGCCCGCCGTGGCCGCACTATGTGCGTGTCTCTAGATGAATTTAAACGATCGTATGACAAAGTAGCGGGCCGTGTATCATTTTATATAAACTCCGTTACACACGGCCGAACGACCGAGAGAGACGACGAGAGATTGTATAATCTCTGGTCGGGTCGAGGGACAGGCTCTTTGTGTGGGTGCGCGTACGATCGTGTAACCGTGAATGTTCCACCTCCGGGCGAAAGTTCTCGCACACGCGACAACGGGACGCACAGACGAGCGTGTACACGCGCGCAACAGGAAGTTTACGATCGATCTGTCACGTTGCAACCAACCGGTAATAAAGTTGGGATGTGGTACAACCGACTGTCACCGCGCTCGCAAAACTTACTCGCGACGCGACGCCGCGTCTACTCCCGACCGCTTCTAAGAGCTTTAACGCTACATCTGTACACGCTGCACGCTCCTGTAAACTGCCGCGCCGAATACCTGCTGTTTTTCAGTTTCCTCCTCCCCACGATTCCACGCCTGATAATCCTCCGAGTCGTGTCTTCCGACGAATTAATTCCTTTTACCGTGGAGATTAAAATCCGAATAGATGTCGAATTCAGATGGAACTTAAAATTGATCTACGTTAGAAAGTTCTTGAATCATTCTATTAATAAACATTCCTGATCCGCAATAAACGACGAAAGCGAAGTCTTTAAGCTGCATCCGCAGAGACAAGAAGAAAAGAGTAGTTGGAGTATAAATTCCAAGATGGCGACGTCACTGGGAGCAACGACGGATATTATATTTTTCGCAACAACGTATAATCTGAATTTAGACGTAACTCGAATAGTCGATGAATGGTTCGAACGAAGCTAATTTGATTCGTTGGTACGAAAATAAAATTTGCCCGAGTTTGGGTAGCAGCTCCAACGGAGCGTGAATTCTGGACGAAACGCGAGCGAAAACGAAAAGGCCGAGTCCGGCTTGTTATCCAAACGAATGACCACGCGACAGCGATTCAACCGAGCTTCAAACACGCTCCCCGGCGAAACAATTGGACGCGAAGTTCGGATTGGCCGTGGATCGAATATACCTGGGGATCGACGACTCCTGGTTACGGCACGGAGACAAGCGAAGGAGGACGGACGGATGAAAGGGACCGCAGAAGGCTGGCGTGGCTTCGCGGTTGATTAAACTGAAACGCGACCACGAGGCAGGAACTTCTACACGAACGGGCGCGTGTGGCGGACCGTGTGCGTGCACACGTATCTACGAAAGGGGGAAGATGGCGACGTCAACGAAAATGGCTGCACCTTTGCGTTGATAAAAGCGCGCGAAGCCCGCGAGACCCTGGCTGGAAAGGTGTGCGCCAGCAACAGAGGGAGAAAGGTAGCGTTAGGTGATGGTTGAAGGAGCGAGAGGGTAGAAAGAAGTCGGATATCACCCCTAGTTACGAGTGGTAACGAGGGGCGGAGTCGCGCGGGCCGCACACCTGCCTCGTTTCGAGCTGGTCACTCACCCCCATTTTTATCCCCTTAAAGGCTACGCCTTGACAAACGCGTTTACGTTAACCGCCGAACGAGGGTCGCGAGAAATGGCCGTTTCGGTGGACGTTAATGGTTGATCGTCTCTCGTGCCCCGAGGGATGGTCTCTTCCTGCCAAAAACGAACGGGAGACTCTAGATTTTTATAGAAAATCGAAGCAGACGGTTTCTAGATACCGGAAGATCTCCAATATTCCAGCGAAATCGATGAGATCCACGTTCTTCGGGTGTCCTTTCCCATCAGCTTTCAAGGGCACTACCCTCCCGGACCACTTTCCAACCCCTTCGTTGGCATTTAATCATCGCGGACAGTTTCTCAACAGTATCAACACAAAGATTCACGCTATTCGTCATACGACCGTCCGTTAACACATTTTTCAACGAGTTTTGCACTCCGTGTTCGCACTCCCCTTGTACAATGGCTGACCGAATCCAGCCGAACTCGTCGCGTAACTCTGCTGTGACCCCAAAATGTACTCGAATCGAATCTCGTGGGACTATTTTAAACCGAGCAATGTAATGATCTTTCGATGGTTTCGTTACTTACGGCAGCACAAGAAGCAATTATTCATCTTTGGATGCCATCTAATTTGCTTAAGAAATATTTTTGTTATTTGATACAAGCAAAGGTAACATTGGTAACAAATTGTTAAGTAGCAAAGCGTGAGGCAAATCGCAGAGGGCGTTAGCCCCCGTGTGAAATTGAATTTGGCGCTAGAAAAACAAGATAACGCATCCATCTTGACGTCCCAGAGACAGCTCAATTTCGGAGGGTTGCGAATCGGGAACAAAGCGGAGGACGGTCCGATCAGCAATCGCTATGGAAACAATCGGCTGATGCGATTAGCTCTCTCGCGCGCGTGAGGAAAGAGGCTGATCGCAGCTACGCGCTCGGGCTGCGTATATACGCGTATATAATACGATTTGTATATAGATAACGCGACAGGTCTATATTCGGGGCGTATTTAAAGCTGTCGAGGATGGCGATGGCCGGGCACGGTGGTTGCAGCGATACCGTGGAGAGAGCCTGAGCGAGAGATAGATTGGGAGAACCGTGCAGAAGCAACGCGCCACGGTTGAAAGAGACCGAAAAACGCCGCCAGAAGGATAAAGAAGACAGAGAAAACCGACCGGGGGCGGTCGGGGGAGAGAGGACAGGTGGACGCAGAAGAGGCGGAGAGATATAGGGAGTCGACACGCGGCGGGCGGCGGGCGACGGAATCGGGTAGAAAGCAGCAGTTCCCGCTCTCGGGGGCGGCTGGCTGTTATCATGAGAAACAAGCTTCCACTCTGATTTTTTAATCCGATCCGCGCCCCCTGCCACCGGCTGAATTTTAAAATAACTGCAGAACGCCATTTGCTCCTCGCAAACAGACCGGGGTTAAGCCATCCTCTCCCTCTTGCCCTCGGCTCTTTCCTGTCTTCCTGTTCCTCTCTGTTTCGCCGGCGTGCACACACAGGTCCACGTTCCTCCGTTTCTCCTCTCTCTGCTGTTCTCTCCGTCTCTGGCTCTTTCGTTCTCTTTGCGCGCGTGCACCGGGGCAAAGCCTTCGACCCTCCACGCTGGATGGATACGGGAGAGAGAAAAAGAAAGAACGTGTGCGCGAGTCTACATCGTCGACGGGTTGGAAGCGGCTGTGATGCCAAATTGAAATGTTTAGCGCCTCGTTTCAGCCCGCTGCGAATCCCGGCGCGTGCAGTCCCACTCCCCCCCCTGGGGGAGGGTGGAAGCGAGACGAGCGGAGGCCGCGAAGGGAACGACCAGCGCTGGAAAGATAGGGGGTGAAAGAAGACAGAAGAGATACCGCGTGTAGGCCTGCCTCGGGGAAGGCCAGATAAGTGACAGTTTTATTAATTTCCCATCTCCGCTGCCACCCCCTCGATCCGCCAACACCGGGAACGTCAGTCGCGCGTCCACACACGATGAAAGAGGGCGAAAATAAAGCTCAATAACGGCGGCCTCCCCATGACGGCGGCCAGGAGTCTCTCCGTAGTCGACAAAGGTGCGTTTCCGAGTCGACTCCGAGGGGATTTGGATCAGCGATATCTCGTCGTTCAGGATGTTGCTCGGTGCCTTCGTGACGGAGGGGTGACTTTCTGGAAAAGGGATCCTTCCATTCAGAGATTATTCCGGAACCGCGATTTTTCGCAGCTGGAAAATCGCCACCGGGGCCGGGTCTCGCCCAGGCGTTTCCGGTCGAGAGACTCCGTCCGGTTGTTTCGAACAAGAGAGTCGAGTGGGGGTGGAACAAGGAAAAAAGTAAGAGAAGCGAGGTGGGGAACGAGCATCTCCCAGCCGTTCGGCCGACGGTGGAAAATTTAATTTCGATCCAGTCGATTCAGCAGTTATACCGAAGTTTAATCTTTGATAAGGGTTAGTCTTTTAGTAATGGGATCCCAGGGGGTTGGTCGCTCCAGTCCGACCGGGCGAGGCGAGGAACGGGGTCCACGCCGCGCTCTCTCGACTCCTTTCCACTCCACTCCTCCGGCCAGGATAGAAGGAAGGAGCTTAAACCGTTAGATAGAGATCTGCTCTCGGGATGAAAGTAGTAGCTACCCGCTTATATCGTTCCTCTAACCAAGGAGGACTCGGACTTTTCTACCGTGCCGGGGGAAGGCGTAACGAGCCTCACGATTGGATAAGTTTCCCGACACGAGGTTCCACCGGAGACTTTGCCATCTTCTTCCTCCCCTCCCCGCACTCCGCCCCGGTCGCGTTGTCTCCTCTTATCCAGTTTGCTCGTATAACGTATCGCGACTTGTGTACGTCCCCGACCGCCTTATATCCGGGTCACGTGCATCCTACGACGATGAGAACGGCCATCCTCGAAGGACTTAATAAAAGAATCCTCTCCCCGAGCAGTTCCATTAAAGACTTCGATCGGTTCGCCACCCCTACTAGCCACGAGTGGGGGCTTCGATTCGCGCGTTATCAATTTGGGGGTTATAGGACCTTTGGAGAAATTTAGGGTCGGTTCGCTCCGTTTATATCCTGTCGAGGATGCCGTACTCTAAACCTGTAGTAACATTCGATATTGTTCTAGTTAATAATTTATTTTAGTAGAGAACTCTCGTACGAGCGACAGTTTTCACTCGTATCGAGAAGATCAATTTTTAAGGTGAGATGTAAAATAAAATAAATTTAATCGTAGCTCGTGAATATAGCTGAGATCACAAAAGGTAAGTGCCAAAACACGCGTTTTATTCCTATCGTTGATATTCTTGCGGCAGTCAGCGCACTAAGAATAGTCGATCGATACAACGAATAAAATAATTTCTCAAGATTGATCATCCGTTTTGAAATTTTCCGTGATTCGAAGAACACGTATATTCGGAATCGAATATACTAGGGCGATGGCGTTGTTTAACAGACGCCTAATTTATCTGTTACAGTTATGGCATGGACCTCAACGGCGCGAGACGGAAGAACGCAACGCGAGAGACGACGAGTACATTGAAAGCTTGGCTGAACGACCACAAGAAGAACCCGTATCCGACCAAGGGCGAGAAGATCATGCTGGCCATCATCACGAAGATGACTCTGACGCAGGTGTCGACGTGGTTCGCGAACGCGCGCAGACGTCTCAAGAAAGAGAACAAGATGACGTGGGAGCCGAGAAACAGGGTCGAGGACGAGGATAACAACAACGAAGACGACGACAGCGGAAGGAAGAGCGTGGATGAGAAGGATCGATTAGGTGAGGATTGCTCGACATACGATTATCCAATATTGCCGCAAATTGCGAGTAGCAAACATTTTATAGTACAGTAATAGTTCTTGAAACGAATGATGCAATTCGTAAACTGAACAGTTCTATCCCTCCAAAGTAGTGTACAGGGTTCTCCCCCTCATGAATCGATTTGAAGGATACTTCGCTCAATAATTTGAGTGTGTGGGGACTTGGCGGACCCACAGGTTAAGAACCATTGATCTGTTCTATGCACCTTACCTAAGTGTTTCCCATAGCTTACCACACAATTCACGATAACTATTAGAGAGTTAACCTCTGATAAGTTTGGGGCTTCGGTTCCACCATCCAACGACACCTTCCGTTTCCTGTTGCAGATTCCAAGGATTCTGGTACCGGTTCGAGCGAGGACGGCGAGCGACCGGCCCACCGGATGGATCTGCTGCACGGTACCAGCGGCGGATCCGGGGTGCAGGGCAGAACCGAGAGCGAGTGGAGCGAGTCGCGGGCGGACAGCGGCCCGGACAGTCCCGAGTGTCTGTACGACCAGAGAGAGCCGAGGCATCCGCTGCAACTGCAGCATCCCGCGTATCTGGCGACGACCCACGGCCGATTGTTGCGTCACCCGTCACCGGAGAGCACACCGCCGAGCAGCCATCATCTCCCGGCGAGCACCAGCACGCCGTCCACGGGCAGTGTGGTGACCACGAAGCCGAGGATCTGGTCGCTGGCCGACATGGCGAGCAAGGACGGGGACCAGCAGAGCCCGAACCCGACGACGATGTCCGGTCTCTCGTCGCCGTACAGCGGAAGCAGCGGCGGCGGAGGCGGGGGCGGCGGTGGCGGGAAACTGGTGAGCCCTCTGGCGAGTCGTCTGCCTCCCCATCACCCCCTCCACCCGGCGATGCACTCGGGGGCGCAGTTCGTGCGACCGCATCCGGACTTCTACCGGAACCTGTACGGCGCCTCTCACCTTGGATCCGGTGACATGTCCTTGTTGGAGACCTATTCGAGGACCCTGGGCGGCCTCAGCGGCGTGATGCCGCCGTCCACGGCCCCCAGCATACTGACCTCCTCCGCCTCGGCCGTGTCCGCCACCGGCAACGTGAAACCGTTCACGATCAACGGGGGCGGCGGCGGACCCGCTGGGCCAGCCGTCCTCCTGACGACCGCGTCCTCGGGCCTGTCCCCGTCCTCCTCGTCGACCGCCTCCTCGGGCGGGTCCGACCAGTCGCCCCATCCGAGCGGCAACCTGCCACCGACGCAGGAGCTCAAGTCACCGGGGCGAGTGTGATTCCCCCGTGAACCCGTGGACTGATTTAACTGACTCGATCGAACCGAGCTGACGGACCGCCGCGTGGAGCCAGTCGCGAGCGCGCGGCGCTGTTGTGTGGTGTGGATGACAATAATAAGAGACTACGATCTTGTAATTAGTGTACAGTAACTGGACCGAAGAACCACGGAACGAGATACACCCTCCCCCGCGGGTCACCCCCGTCCTCCTTTGTTCCTAGTCTCTCTTCATCGTCTTTCGTCCTTCTCCTTTCCTGGCCCTCTGGGCTACTCCCCCCGATCGCTCGTTCTCCTTCACGTCGGTTCTCTCCACTGTCCTCGACGATAAACAAATAAGGAAAAAAAGTAAGGAGAAAACGAAAATCGTAGGCCCCCCGTTCCCCCCGTTTATCTCCGTAGGCAGCAGAGCAGCAGCTATCGCGGTTTAAATGAAAAAAAAAAACACTATCCTAGGCGTCGACTCGACAGTCATATTATACATAAAGTACTATATATATAAATACACGGTAAAAATAATAATTATTTATGCGTTTGTAAATAGTAGAGAGGGCCCAGTAGAGAGCGTCCGGCCAGTGTATGTATTGTATGTAGAGTAGGTACGATATTATTATTATAATATTTGAGATCATAATTCATACTAACGACGGCGATGACGACGATGATTATTATTATTATGATTATGATTATTATTATTATTATTATTGTTATTGCAATGTTTATAATATTATCGATTCGCGTCGACTCGGTCGATCATGACGAGGTATGGATCGTTGATCGCTGCGACGGATCACGGGCGACGGGACGGAGCGCACGAATCCGCGCGGGAGCCTCGGTTTCTCCGTTCGTAAAAGTATTATTTATTTATTTGCTCGACGCTCGAGATCGTCGGCGAGTCTCGAAGGCGCGATCGACCGACACCTTCGACGAACGACGACGTCTCTTCTTCCTTTCGCGATCCTCCTCTTCGCCTTTTGCCGCTGAATTTCGTCGAACGCGCTCCGCTCCGCCCGTAATCCGCCAGAACTTAGAATTCGCGTTGCGCCCCGCTGCCGCGAACAAACCTTCCGGTCCTCTATCCGGGACGCTAGGGACATAAAACACACACACAGAGACGTACTAAACTCGGGTCCCTAGAAGGTTGGACGAGACGCACGCGACGCCTGCAGGGCGCAGCGACTGTCAACATATCATGTCATGTCGAGAGTGAACGATCGCCATCACCTTTTAGTCATTCGTGTCCAAAATTTCACGCGAGCTCGCCGATGCCACATTGGCAGATGGCTTGCAGACTGTGTCCTTTCGCAATAAACGAATCATTATAAAAAAAAAAAATAAACTCTGCAGGTCTCGTCATTCTTTCCCAGCCCATCCGTCCTGCGCTTGATCGATGGTTCCCGTCTCCTCGATCGGCGAGAAGAAACTCCGAGAGATCTTCGACTGGGTGGAAAAGGGTGAGTAATCTTGGTCGGAGGACTTACGAAGTTCAAAACCGATTGGGAGTGGATGGACCATCTGCTACTGCTTTTAACGAATATTCCGATTCGGTTTCGTCGATCGTTTACTACTGTGGCTTTTTCTAATTATTTCTAGCTGACTCTGTGACCTGACACGTAAGTAAGTAAGGAGATATTATTTTTATTAAAAACTGTTTAAATAATAATAACAGTAGTATTTAGGTCCGGGTCAAAGTGGACCCTCCGCCTATTGTTAAATTCGTGAGCAAAGATGGACGTTGGGGTATCGTTCGTTTAACGACTCGTTCGCGAATCATTATGCCGTTGTGTCCGGCCTAATCGCGGCGCATGCATCCCGACGGCGGAGACAATACGCGCCGGGACTCCTGGCAACGCAGGGGACGGCCAGGCGGAGCAGCCGGCGGCGGCAGATGAATATGAAACGTCCTCGTTCTCGGAACCGGCCGCAAGATGTACTTATAAAAATGCAAAGCGACCGACTTCTGGGTGGTTGCGGGACAAGCTTGGTTATTAGTAAACATTTAAATCGACAATCGCTATAGGTATACGGACAGCGGGGAATGCCGATCCGCGTCTCCGTTCCCTTCGTTCGGTCCTCTCTCTCCTCGGCCGGCCGGGTCTGTCGCTGTTTCGCAACCTGGACCGACGTTTCGTCCGTCTCGTTTCCGCCAGCACGGCAGCCGGGAGGAACGGAGGAGAACGACGCACCGGCCAAGATCGGTCGTGGTGGAGGAAACAAGAAATCAAGCCGCGGGACCACCCGCCACGGCCTTGGGGGCACCGAGCCGCGGATCCCAAGGAGGTCCATCCCGTCTTCATGAATCAACTCGTTCCTGAATCGGCATAAACCTTCAAAGGGTTGTGGGGGTCCTTCCTTCTCGGTCCTCTCCCTAGATCCCGCAGAGTTATGTGGACGTCCCTTTTCGTTTCGCTTCTTGCAACTTTGTCCCGCTCGGTCCCCGCCCGGGCTCTGTCTAGGGAAAACGCTCGATGGGTGATGGAACGCTTCCGTTTACGTTTCAATTTCGACCCGCCTCTGGATCGGGGACGAAGAAGGTAACGACGGTGGGGTTGATACAAAAAATAGGATACTTTTTTAATAAAGTAGGGGCTCTCGAGGCATCCCGGAAACCCCAGTGTGGCTCCCTGTTGGCGTTAGGGGCGAACGTCTAATTTTAGAAATACAAAAATGTATTCCGGCGCGCCGTTAGTGCCGCGAACGGCATTTAAATTGCCCAGTAAACCCGTTTTATGCCTTCGTAAAGATACCGATGTGCAAAAATGCAGGTGTATAGAGGGAACGCTAAGGCAGAGTATCCCCACGGGCGACCAGTACCTGTCGCAGATAAACCGACCCATTACCAGTATAGTAGCCCAGTTGTAAAATGATCGTGTCGCGGGGTACTAACTGAGACAACACTATCTGCCGACGACGGGGATGCAGTTTTTAGCGGCATTACCGCTCGAGGACAGACGATAATCGACCACTTATCGTGCAAGTACACGCGGATACTGTGGGAACACCCTTAGAGCGTGCAAGGATTCGATGAAATAAACCGCGATTAATGGCGCCTGTCCCTAGCAGTGCCCTCCCCACGGTCTCTGCGTTCTGACGACTGCTGACATCGGTCGTTATCGAGCTCTCCTTTCGAATAGGTCTATCGATACCCCGAGTTGCTTGATGAAGATAACAATTTCTCGTAATAATTTGAGATATTTAGCTAGAATCCTTTGCAATGAGCACAATATACTATTTCAATATAAGTCGCGAAGGTTAACGGCGTTTCCATGAAGGAGCCCAGCAGCGTCCACGTTCCTAAATTGTTGTAAGACATTTACGGACCCCAGGCGACCGTCGAGTCGAGCGATAAAAATTAACAGCGGATCGCTAGATCGTCTCGACGAACGGACGAAGAGTTTTCGTCCTGTGGGTCGCGAGGTCCTCGAACCCGTCTTCCGCGGAATCCTCGTAAGTCTTATCCGAGGAGGCTGCAAATGGGCGCGCAGGTTGGCAGCGGTCAGCCGGGACGCCTCCGTGACTCCGTGGCGGGGAAGAGGCGATAAACTATACTAAACTGCTCTCCGTGGCGATGCTTTATTGGCTTTTATCGAGTTTTAACGCAAGCATGCCGGACTCCTTTAAGGAAACGCCGTTAATTTTACGACGCGGGCATATTTAGCCCGCGGGCTTCTCGTAAAATCATACTTCGGTCGCGATAAAGTTAAAACATCGGCAGGCTTAAAGCAAAGTTCGCCTCGTAAATATGAACGGGGGCGGGCGAGGGGGAGGCAGAGAGGATCGGGTGGCAAGTTCTCGCGTCGATGCGATACATACTCGGGGCACACGTATATTTTCCACGCTCACGGTTTATGTGTGCGCTTATGTACGCGACGAGGGGTGGAAGTACCCCGAGAGCCGTCAACGGGGGGTGGCTGACGGAGCTTTCGCGTCGTTGTAATTAACTTATGGTAATTAACGGGGCCGTGGGCGGGAAAGAGTTTTATTAGGCTTCCGCGCCTTTTCAACTTTTCTTTTTTTATTACGCCGCTTGATCGAAACCGACCCGGGGGTGGCTACGCGAAACTGCTGTCAGCTCGTCTTCGAGACTCCTGTGCTGTTCGCAGAGATTCGTAGATTGACAGGTCTGAGCAGTGACTGTAATAACAGTATTGCTAAATAGAAATGTTTGACAAACGAACCGAGTATTTAAGAGAACACCGAGAAGACACGGCACGGTGAAAGAAATTTATACGCTTTCGAGATACGGTCGTTGAACGAACGGCGGACATTTTGTTTGGGAAGGTTGAACGTACCGACGCGTCGCTAAAAAGTTGTCGACCCCCGGCGAACAATCCGCGCGGAGGTTTTGAAAAGTTGCATAAACGAGGGATGCGGTGACGAGGAAAGCGGCGCGTTTGTTAGCGGCCACCGGGGCGGCAATAAATCTTCCAAAAAATGCTTAGCCCGGGCAGATTCGTCGTCGGAGTCGACAGGTAGCGGACAGTGCCCGGCGAGTGTCGCTCGTAAAATTCGGATTTGTCCAATGCTCGTTAAGAGAGAAATTCAAAACCGTCTTTCGTTCCCACTCGTTTCGACCACCTCTCTGTCCGCCTCCATCTGTTCCATCGCGTTCTCCGTTACGCTGGTACGCTTCGAGGCGCGGCGAGAGTAATCTACACGGTCGCGGGACGATCTATCACCCGCACAACGAAAGTTTGACGCGACGTCAAAACGCGAGCCCGTTAATTTTTCATGTCGTTCCACCCGGAACTCGCGCCGTAACTGCGTCCGTCCCAGGCCCCGAACCTCTCGTACGTACACGCCGTGTCCTCCTGATCCGCGTCCTCGACGCTGGTCCAGCAAGTTGTTTCGACGTTGCCATTCATTATTCACCACCTACACGGTCACGCTACCTTTCGACGCGAAGATACGCGACAGGGAAAAGAGACCCGGGACCCGGGACCCGGTTCGACGGACCATCTGCTTTCCTCGTCCAGGGTTTTCGCGCGGTTAAGGACATTTCCACGACTGGGAGAACTCATAGGATGGACACAGGCGATTCCTCGTTGTAAAATACGAGAAAAAATCGAGATCGAACGTTTATACAGGGCAAGTGACCGTATATTGTCATTCAGATTCACGTTATGTGAAAAAAATGTTTCAGGCGAAGTTGACAGATTTCGAAAGGGTCACATTTTGACAACAGTAGTTTTTTCATAGGGAGATACGAAGATCATTAACGTTTTTACAAATGAAATCATATATTTTTTATGGTATCAGTGAATGCACCTTGATATGCTCTACAAAAAAAGCATTAGTTCAGGAGATATTAGGAGGTCTAAGGGAAAAGATCTCGTAGAAGGACGCGATAGTAAGTAAAGAGGCCACGGGGAAATTTCTGAGAACGAGATCGCCTTTTCCTTTTTTTTTTTTGCTGCCGGGTAACAGCAGCTGAATCGGTAAAGAACGTCGGGGACGTCCGTGACGATCATAATATATCGTCGACGTCTGGCTTTCCGATTTGTGGCCTCGGTATCGAATGTTTGATGCGGCCGCTCCTCTTCGACGTAGGTCCCGGATACGGCGGACAGTCTATTGTTCCTGAATAAACCATCGTATGGCCGAATACCAACGGCGGGCAGTAACTCTTCCACTTCCCGCGCGATTACTTGAAAAAGTCGCGTGTCCGTTCCCTTCCGCTGCGGTTCTCCGTCCGCTACGCGAGTCTACCGGTTGGAAATCCGCCGACCGTCCAACTTTTGCGAAACTCGTTTGTTTGTCAGCTCGTGAAATAAGTCTTCGAGTTTGGAACGCTCCGAAGATCCCTGCCCGTTCAGCTCATTCTTCCGCCCCCCGGGCTCGTATACAACCCCAAATCGTACTTTCGCCAGTTTTATTACCAAATTTTCACCATATTCGCCCTGATATCGTTCTCTCGAATTACATTATCTTCTGGCCACCCACGAGATTCTTTAACCGTGTATAATAAAAAAAAACTAGTGGAAGTAAATGTTATCATTTAGAAAGAGTTTAATTCAATTTGGAGCACATGGTATGTTCCAAAGTTCCTGGTCCCGGAGGCTTTCGTCGGGGCTGCCGATATCTGTCACGAACTCGCGACAGCTTCCACGGCTAAAGACCAAAGGGCCGCGTCGAAAGGCGCGAGTTCGGGTCTGGCAATAAACCGATTGCTGCCAGAGGCCGGAGTAATCCTTCGTAACCTGGGCGTCGTATCCGGGAGGCCAGGTTCCCTCGAAACGCGCCGACGACGACGAAAACAGAAAGAGCCACGGCGATATTTCATTCGGCGTACGATCCCGCGAATTCGCCCGCT